GGGGGGGGGGGGAGCGGGGGAGGACTGCCACCTGGCGGGGCAGCTGGGTTCAATGGGAGCCCGCAGGTGCACAAGCACGCACACACACACACGCACACATACACGCATGCGTGCGCACACGCGCGTGCACACACACAGACACACACACACACACACACACACACACACACACCAACACACATCAACAGGCACGCACGCACGCCCGCATGCACGCACGCACGCACACACGCCCGTGCACGCGTATGCACGCACGCACGCACGCACGTGCGCACGAACGCACACATCCACACCCACTCCCCAGGAGCTGTGGAAGCTGCGGCGGCCGCCCACGCCCCTGAACCTCGACCACCTGCTGCCAGACGCGGCCGCGGCAGACGAACGGGTGCTGGCGGCCGCAGCGGCGGCAGCGGGCCATGGCGGCGGCGGCGGCGGTGTGGCGCGGGCCCTGGGACTCGGGGACCACGAGGTAAGTGTGTGTGTGTGTGTGTTTGTGTGTGTGTATGTGTGTATGTGAGTATGTGTGTGTATGCGCGTGTATGTGAGTATGTGTGTTGAGGGAGGTTCATATTCTAAACAAGAAACATTGGAACGGATGCTTTGCCTGTTTTCCAGCCATTTTCAGCTGCCATCTGCGCAGCGCAGCGCACCCACCCAGTATCCAGCCGGGGACCTCGCGCCGTCGCTTGCCACCGCGCGCCGCCTTTGCCGCGGGAGCCGCCCCCTCGGCCCCCCTTGAGCGCACGCGACCACCCACGCACGCCCCTTGCCCTGCGTCCCACCTGCCTTCCCGCAATCCCCGTCGATCAAAAAAGGTGTGGAGCGACGCGGACGCGGCTCTGGTGTTTCTGGCGGCGGTGGTGGCTTTCCTGGAGCACCGGCCGGAGGAGCTGGGGGCAGCGGTGTTCGACAAGGTGGGGACATCTTGGTTCTTGAAAGGGGAGAGCCATTTTGACCTGGCTCTAGGGGGCCGGATGCGCCGTGCTGTGGCGCTGGTTCGCCTTCCGGTTGGGCGGGGCAACGGGCAGCATGAGGGGGCGACGGGCCGCCGAGGAGGTTGGCGGCCTGGTGGGGGGGTACCTAGGGTCTTGGTGGCGGAGGTGAGGGCAGGGGAGGGCAGGCTTGGGGAGATGTCCTGGACAGGGGCGCAGGTGCGACCTCTTACCTGATTTTCAACGCGGGGTTGCACACGGGGAGCATCATGGGGAGGCGCTGGGCACAGCCGCCGCCCGCAACGGCGCATGCCGCGTGGAGGCCTCCGCATCCCCTCCTCCTAAACGCGGCCCTGCCTTGGTGTTCCCCAGAACGCACAAGCAACAAACCCGTTCCTTTTTCCACCCCCGACACCCCTTTCAAAACGTGAGCCCCTCCACCCCTCC